CTAATTCCAAAGTTATTTTGGAGATGACATCAAGATTTAACGATAAAATGATAGTAAAAGGCGAATTCTTAGTAATGCCACAATTAATTATACCATTGCCAGTACAAACGTTAAAGTTTGATACCACGATCTGGGAAAATTACAAACTAGCAGATCCTGAATTCAATAAAAAAGATCGAATAGATATGATAATAGGTAGTGATCTATATCCTAAAATAATAAAAGAAGGGGTTAAGAAATTTGACGATATAGTTGGGCAAGAAACAATATTCGGGTGGATAATATCCGGACAGCTACAAACAAACAAAATACAAAATCAAGCAATATCAGCCTTGAATTTAGAACGATTTTGGGAAATAGAAGATGAAAACAAAACAAACCTACAAGAAGATGAAAAATGTCAAGAACTATATAAAACAACTACAACAAAAGATTCAGACGGAAGATACATTGTACAAATTCCATTTAAAGAAGAATTATTCTTAGGGGATTCCAGAAAACAAGTAGTAGCCAGACTAATCAACTTGGAGAAGAAAATAAAGAAAGAAGTTAAGTCAGAATATATAGAATTTACGAGAGAATACGAACGTTTAGGTCATATGATCAAAGCAGAAAATCATAATGAAGGGTTGTAGTATATGCCACATCGGGCTGTAATCAGAGAAGCAAGTTCAACAACGAAATTACGTGTAGTTTTTGATGCATCTGCTAAAACAACCAATGGAAATAGTCTTAACAATATTATGATGACCGGACCGCGATTACAAAGAGATATATTTAACATAATAATAAAATGGAGATTATGGAAATTCGTGGTGACAGCAGATGTGGAAAAAATGTTTAGACAAATAAAACTTGCAGAAGAGCACCAAGATTATCAACGCATACTTTGGAGAGAAAAACCAACAGACTCAATTCAGGAATTTAAGCTAACCACAGTCACTTATGGAACTGCATCGGCTCCATTTTTGGCAGTTCGCACGCTACAACAAATTGCTGAAGACTATAATGGAGACATTTCCATTAAAAATACGATTAAAGATGATTTTTATATGGATGATCTAATTACTGGCGCTGATACAAAATTAGATTGTAAAAATAAAATCAATACAATTTTTAAATGTTTAAACAGTGCTGGATTTAAATTACGGAAATGGATGTCCAATAATCAATCAATCTTGAAAAATCTTCCTATTGAAGCTGAAAATAAAATATTATACATAGAGGAAGATAATTCAATAAAAACATTAGGAATGAAATGGAATCCAATAAAGGATGAATTCCAATTTTCAATAAATATATTGTCAAATGAGACAATAACTAAAAGAATGGTATTGTCAACATATGCAAAAATTTTTGACCCATTAGGTTGGTTAACACCAATAACAATTACAGCAAAATTATTTATTCAAAAACTTTGGCAATTAAATTATGATTGGGATGAGAACTTAAACGAACAAATTCGGGAAGAATTTGAAAAATATAATAAAAATATACAAACAGTGGAACAAATTCGAATTCCAAGATGGATGGGAGTCTCGAGTTTAAAAAATTGGGAGTTACATGGATTCTCGGATGCATCTGAAGCAGCTTATGCAGCTGCAATATACATCAAAATCGGTTCAAATGTAAACCTTTTGGACGCAAAATGCAAAGTTGCACCAATAAAAAACAAGAAAACTATTCCCAAGCTAGAACTATGTGGAGCACATTTATTAGCAAAACTAATGAATAAAATAATTAAAATTTTAAATACAAATTCAAAAACTTATTGTTGGTGCGATTCTGCAATCACGTTTTGGTGGCTAAAAGAACCGAGAAACAAAGAAAAATTTTTAAGAACCCGAGCAACAGAAATTAAAAATTTAATTCCAGCAACTGAATAGCGTTATATAAGAACAAAAGATAATCCAGCTGATGTAGCATCTAGAGGTATTTGCGCAAACAAATTAAAAGATTACATGCTATGGTGGCACGGGCCTGCATGGTTAGTAAAACCAATGGAAGAATGGTCAAATGATGAAAAATTAAATGGAATGTCAACAGTTATCACGACTTTAATTCCAGATAATAATATATTTAACGATTTAATACAGAAAATATCAAAAATATCGAAACTAGAAAGAACGGTAGCATATGTTTTACGATTTATTAACTGTTTAAAAAATAAGTCAAAAAATTGGAATTATTTATCGAAAGAAGAACTAGATAAAGCAAGAAATGAAATATTGCGTCTGCACCAGCTCACACATTTTTCTTCCGAAATATCCAACATTAAAAAGGGGAAAGAAATAAATGTAAATAGCAAACTAATTCAATTACGACCATTTATAGACAAAAACGGAATTTTAAGGGTAGGAGGAAGACTACAAAACGCCAACATTACATATAATCAAACACATCCAATAATTCTCGCTAAAGATCGATATTCTGAATTAATTATATATCAAACACATTAATCAACACTACATGATGGGCAGTCCTTGATGGAAGCTCATTTAAAACGTCATTTTTGGATATTAGGGATGAGGAAAACCATAAAAAAGATATGCCAAAGGTGTACAAGATGCATTCGATTCAATCAAAATTTTGCTAAACAAATAATGGGGTATATACCTAGTTACAGAATAAATATATCTCACCCATTCGAACACACGGGTATCGATTACGCAGGACCCATAAATATGAGATGTTCTAAAGGTCGAGGTCAAAAATCGTTTAAAGGATACATCGCAGTATTTGTATGCATGTCCACAAAAGCAATTCATTTAGAAGCAGTAAGCGATTTATCATCAGAAGCATTTGTAGCTGCACTAAAAAGATTTTTTTCAAGAAGCGGAAAGAGTGCACACTTGTATTCAGATAATGGCACTAATTTTATTGGCGCATTAAAAAAATTAGATAAAGAGTTTGGAAATGCGATCAAAAATAATACTTCGATGGTACCAATTCTTGCAGCAGAAAAAATTAAATGGCATTTTATTCCACCGGCAAGTCCGCATTTCGGCGGTATATGGGAAGCTGCTGTAAAATCAACAAAGTATCATTTGAAGCGTGTAATAGGTGAAACAAAATTAACATTTGAAGAGATGACTGCACTTCTAAATCAAATTGAAGCAGTACTCAATTCTCGACCGCTCTGCTATATAAGTAGCGAAATTGACAGCATTGATGTTCTTACACCTGGACATTTTTTAATAGGTCGTCCAATATTAGATGAACCAGAAGCTGAAGTTAAAAATAATATAAGTTTAGTAGACCTTTGGAAACTTTTACAAAAAATTAAAACAAATTTTTGGAAAAAATGGAAGGAGGAATATGTCACTTCTCTTCAAAAACGAAACAAATGGTTTAGAGAAAAACCAAACCTAGCAGAGGGACAAGTAGTAATCATTAAAGATGAAAATACCGCACCTACTAGATGGCCACTAGGAAAAATAACAGAAGTATATAAAGGCAAAGATGGAAATGTACGAGTTGTAGAGCTTAAAACAAAAAATGGAAAATTAAAAAGACCAATTCATAAACTTTGCATTTTGATGGATTCTGACACGATCTATGACCAACAGCAAGCGAATGCAGAAGAAGCTCATTGCAATTTAAACATAAAATCAAATGAAAAATTGAAAACTTCAAAATTAGCATGGACCACCTTGTATTTTCTAATGTTATGTGTCTTACCAACAGTGAAAGCAGCAGTAAAATCATCAGTTGCGCCAGTACATGAACTAAATAATAAAACAACGTTATATTTGGACATGATGGGAAAAGTCAGCTCAGAAATATCAACTTGGAATTTAATAACGTATTATGATATGCAACCATACTTTAATATGGTTAAGAACGCAGAGGATGTACTTAACAAAGCTAATAAAATTTGTCCCAAATTACAAAATTTTGCTGACCAATGTAAGAATATATTGAATACAACGTCTAGAAATTATCAGACATAAACGATGGTAATAAATTATTTATATGGTCGGTGAAAGAAAGAAGAAAGAGAGCACCATTGCCATTTATTGGTTCATTTTATCACCTTCTATTCGGAATGATGGATGAAGATGACCGAAAGGCACTGGAAGAAGATATGAATAATCTACTAGAGAATCAACACAACTTAAAACAGATGACTGAAAGACAAACATCGGTAGTAGAAACAACAGTAAATATATTAAAGCGCACATCTGAAGAAATTCAGCTACAATACAATGAAATTCATAAACGAGTTGAATCCATTAACACTGCCTTGAACGAAACCTTTCTGGTCTATAGGGAATCTATAAACTTTTTCATGGTAGCAAAACAGTTATCAGATATGATAGAAGAATGTTCTCACATTCAATCTGAAGTTATTGAACTTTTGATGGACATTAATCATGGAAAACTGAACCCAGCTCTTATAAAACCATCAAAGTTACATCACGAAATAATAAAAATAAGAGATAAAATTCCCGAAAATCTAGTACTACCTGGTAAAAAAACTGGAACGGAGTTAGAATCCATATATAAGCAATTAAAGGCAAAGGGGTTATTCATTGGAAATAAATTAGTGATTAACGCAAAAATTCCACTGTTTAGCAAGCAGTCATCTACTATATATAAAATAATACCAATACCCATAAACCAAGGCACAAAATATATAATTCCGTAAGTTATGACATCATTTCTTCTCTATAATCTGGAAATAAATGCTTATCAATTGATGGATCCTTTGACATGGAATCAATGCAGCAAGATAGCGGAGCAACAATTTACTTGTGAAGGTAATTTTCCTTGGATAGATGCAAACGATAACTCTTGCGAAATATCGCCACTAAAACCAACTAATCAAGATAACTGTCACTACGAAGAAGTAAATAATTCTTCCATTTGGGTCAAATTATATCGACAGAATAGTTGGATATTCAAAACTTTTAAACAAGAATCTGCCCACATTAGATGTTCAAATTCAATGGAAGATATAATAAACTTATAATAAACTTAACTTATAACCTCTACGTGGTAGGCACCTTGTCGTGGTGTAGGGGCTTAGATACAACTTGAGCTATTCTGATCAATATTTCAGTCAGTGTTATCACTGATGTCACTGACTGGAATGTTGATTGAGATTAGAGCAAGAAGTGCAACCAAGATCTACCAGTAGGTTAAGGTAGAATGTGTTGTTTTGTAATCTATGTTTGTAGTGATAGTAATTAGTTATAAATTTGTAGTTAATTTGTTGTTTGTAGTTTGTAGTTTGTAACCTTGTAGTCCTTGTAGTAGTTAGTTTGTAGATAGGCTCTTTGTTTTTGCAAGCTGGCAAAGTCTGAATGGCTAAACAATACTCTAGCGTCTCAGGGAGTAGGTGGCGGTAAAGACCGTCCACTAAGTTCCAGCTTATCAGCCAGACTCGTAAGGGTAAGTGCGACAATCTCTCAGGCTGATGGGAAGCTCTTGATATGGTCATGTCTCTGCCAAGGGTGGACTGCTGATTGTCGGGCTGGGAAGAGAAAACTTCCCGGGTACGTATTTATAGTAATATTTGTTTTAATATGTGTAGCTTTCAAATTTGTACGATACCTATAAAAACCCCCAAATCTGAGGTAGACTGTTACGCCGAGGATGCTTGACTGGAGGGGTGCATCCAGTCTTTTAGTAATGAACTCAGGATACCGGGCACTCTCCTGTTTTAATTAATGCCTTCTCAAAGTATGGGGCTCTGCTTTGGGTGACTGTTCTTTCCCTTATATTAAACACTGTATATGGATAATAAACTAAATATACCAATTAATAATATAATTACAGAGTCAGAGGAAGAAGCTCTACTCCGTTCGCCAACGAAGGTTGGAGGAAATCTTGAAAAGAGGCTTGAAGCATCTCTCAAGATTCAGGATCTGGATGATCTGAACCCATCTGCTCAGAGACCAATGGTATCAAGCGGTGGGAACACCTCTCCGGTGATTGACACCCAGAGTCCTATGGACACAGGTGACCACGATGGCGGTGCGTCTAATGCTAATACCCAGAGCATGGTGAACTCAGGTGACGGCAACATAGAGACCAGGAAGAAAGCGGAATACTTCACCGGGGCTCAGAAAAGACGCATCAAGGCCATGATTAGGGATGGATTGGATTTGGAGACTGCGAAGCAGAAAGAGAGAGAGCGATACTCTCTCTACAAAGCTTCCTTGGCAGCAGAAGGAGAAAGTGACAGACCCAGTACCAGCAAAAGGTGCAGATCTAATAACACATCTCCCGAAGAAACACAACGCCCGCAGCCCAAAAAGCCAAAAGCCACTCAACACACATCTAGCTCTACCGGAAACCAGCTAAAACCGACTCCATCTTACAGGGATGTAGCCAATGCTTGCAAAGTGGCTATCGCCCATGAGAAATATCCGGAGGTGAATCTCACTGGTGACCAAATGGAGTTGATAAAATCGAAGCTCCTGGAAGAAATTGACAAACTTCCCAAGCACAATAGTGTCTACGGCTTCATCACCAGTGTTAACAGAGACGGATGGCTCTCATTAACATGCTGCAATGGTGAAACGAGGAACTGGCTGACCACCTGTGTCCCAAAACTCAAACCATTCCCGGATGCTATTCTCAAAGTGTTTCAGGGCGAAGAGATGCCCAAAACCTATGTGTGCATCACATTTATTCCCCCCTCTGCTGTGCTACCACCAGAAATTCTGATGTCCCGATTGGAAAAACAAAATGGTGGCATTTGCACATCATCGTGGAGAATTCTCAGGACTGAGAAAGATAAGAATGGTGGGGAAACCGTTACGATCTCAGTGGACGAAAAATCCAAAAATTGGATAGTCGGTCAGGCAGGGAAGCTGTATCTGAACTTCACACAAATTCACGTACGTGTGAAGGGAGAGCCAACTGGACCCAAGAAACTGACGACAAAAAGGCCATTTACGACAGAGAAACCCAGTGACGTCAAGCAACAGGTGCCTCCATCCAAAAGGCCGCTTTCAGGTGATAGACCCAGTACCTCAAAAGCACAGGCAGATAAGCCAAGTGAGACGGTTAAGGTCACACGGGACAGCACCCGAACTGAAGTCGGACCCAGCACCTCAAAACAGCAGGGTGGCACACCGGTATCTAGCATAAAGGACCAGAAGCAAGGGCCAAAGAAACCAGCTTCAAGATCCCCTCGACAGGAAGCACCCACTCATGGGACAAAATTGCCCAAGTGGATGCGGAACGGTAAAGGACGATACCAATAAAATGATGAGGTGCCTGCAGGTTAATCTTCAACACGCCAAAGCTGCTACGGCGGTGTTGACACAGCGACTTCTATCTGAAAAGATTGACCTAGCCTTTATCCAGGAGCCATATGTATATGAGAACCAGATAAAGGGAATAAAAGGTAAGCTACTGTACGATCATGCCAGCCATGGTCGACCTCGTGCTTGTATTGTGGTAAGAGATGACATTAATGCTTTCATTATTCCACAGCACACCAACAAGGACCAGGTAGCAGCTATAATTTCTGTGGACACCCCAGTAAGTAAGACAGAGCTCATTGTCTGCTCATCTTACCTACCTGGAGACTCCCAAGACCTGGACTTCCTATCACTGAAAGGACTAGTAGACTACAGTGTTAAAAGCAAGAGGCAACTCATCGTTGGAAGTGACGCTAATGCACACCACACGATCTGGGGCAGCACCGACATCAATAAAAGAGGTGAGTGTCTATTTGAATTTATAACTGGTAACAACCTATATATTTTGAATACGGGCAATAAGCCCACTTTTATAAACAGAATCAGGGAAGAGGTATTAGACATCACCCTAGCAACACAATTTATAAAACATTTTATCAAAAACTGGAATGTTTCAGCAGAAACATCCATGTCTGATCATCGTCAGATTAGATTTGATATTGATCTAAATATGAAGGTAAGGGAATCGTATAGGGTGCCTAGGGCCACAGAATGGGATCTTTATACTGACGAACTCAAGGCCAATCTAGGCAGTAATAAACATACGATAAAAAAATATTCATGATTTAGAAATAGCTGATGCTGCCTTAAGCACAACTATTATAAATGCCTACCATGGGGCCTGTCCGGTGAAAAATAAGACCGGCAACAGAAGTGCACCATGGTGGAATAAAAAGTTAGCCAAGCTAAGAGTCGAATCCCGGAGACTCTTCAACAAGGCAAAAACCAACGGTGAATGGGACAATTATAAAAATGCCCTCACCGCCTACAATAAAGAAATTAGAAGGGCAAAAAGAGAATCATGGAGAGGCTTTTGCTCAGAGATTCAAAACTTAAGCAATAGCGCAAAAATCCACAGGGTTATCTCGAAAAGCCACACTAATCCCATTGGGCTTCTAAAACGACCTGATGGTCTTTATACCAATGACTGCAAAGAGTCACTTATACTTCTAACAGAAGTACACTTTCCGGGATCTACAATTTACGACCAATCAATCTCCCAGCTTAGTTCCCTGGTGACCAAAAGGCCCAGAAACAATGACTGGAAGATTGCTCGTAAAATCTTCACTGAAGATAAAATTAAATGGGCGATCAACTCATTTTCTCCTTTCAAAGCACCTGGAGCAGACGGAATATTTCCAGCACTCCTACAAAAGGGACTAACTGACCTTATGCCCTACCTCATTAATATCTTTAGAGCTGGGCTGGCGATGGGAATCATTCCCACTAATTGGAAGGAAGCAATTGTCAAATACATACCTAAAGGAGGAGGTAAACCTAGCGAACTTCCTAAATCCCATAGGCCTATAAGTTTGACTACATTTCTTTTAAAAACTATGGAGAAGATAGTGGAAAGGCATATAAGGGAAGAGTATTTATCTATAAATCCACTCCACGCCAACCAATACGCCTACCAACAAAATAAATCCACCACACATGCATTACTCAGTCTTACTAATAAAATACAGGAGTCTGTAGATTGCAAAGAATATGCGGTGGGATGCTTTCTTGATATTGAGGGAGCGTTTGATAATACTGATCACTCACATATCGAAAGATGCCTCCATGACAGAGGAGTAGATGATACGACACGCACATGGATAAGCAATGTACTAAGAAATAGAATGGTTAAATCCACTCTCGGCAATGCCGAAATAAAAGCACATACTGTAAAAGGATGCCCACAAGGGGGTGTATTATCCCCACTCCTGTGGTCAATTGCAGTAGACGAGCTCTTGCATCGACTCAGTGCCAAACATTTCGAGGCACAAGGCTATGCTGACGATATAGTCATACTTGTCAGGGGTAAATATGAAGACATGATCTCATATCGACTTCAACAAGCCCTGAACATCGTTAGTAGATGGTGCAGTGAAGTAGGATTAAATGTAAATCCTAAGAAAACAAGTCTGGTAGTCTTCACAAAGAAAAGGAAGAGAGTACTTTCCAATTACCCATTCCTAAATGGAGAAGAGCTATCATCCGTTACCCAAGTAAAATACCTGGGAATGATTCTAGATGAGAAGTTGACGTGGAATTCTCATATAGACAATGTCATACGAAGAGCCAGAGAGGCATTATGGACCAGCAGAAACCTCATTGGTAAGCACTGGGGCCTTAATCCAAAACTCAGCCTTTGGATGTACACATCTATTGCCAGACCAATTGTAACTTATGGGTCAGCTATCTGGTACAAAAAAGCACAACAGAAGACTGTAATAGATAAACTTCGTAAGCTGCAGAGATTAGCCTGCATAATGACAAGTGGAGCGATGAGAACTACCCCGACAGCAGCCCTAGAGGTTGCATTGGGGCTCCCCCCACTTCACCTACTAGTCAAAAAGGAAGCAATGACTTTTATGGCCAAGCTACAGTTGACTAGCAATCAATCAACAAGACTACTCGATAACTCCCTGTTAGGTAGGGAAATGCAAAGAGAGGAAGGACTAAATATCACCATATCTGACATTTGCTTACCTAAATTCAACTTTCACCAAAAGTTCCTAATACTAATACCAGACAGAAATGAATGGGAACGGAACATACCTCCATTCGCTGGAGACTACCATCTGTGGTACACGGATGGCTCCAAAACGATGGAAGGAGTGGGGGCGGGAGTATATGGAGTAAGACCTAAAGAGGAAATATTTGCGAGTATGAGTAAAGAAAACTCAGTTTTTCAGGCTGAAGTACACGCAATTGAATTATGTCTCAGGGTATATAAAGGTAAACCCGTCACGGGAAAAAACATATATATCTTTTCTGACAGTAAATCGGCACTCCTGGCACTACGCTCACCTCGAGTAACCTCAAAAATAGTGTGGGAATGCCTTCTACTTCTCAAAGACCTTGCTGAAAAGAACAGAGTCCACTTAATATGGATTCCAGGGCACAGCGGTTTTGAGGGAAACGAAAAAGCAGATGAACTAGCGAGAAAAGGGGCGGCCTCATACTATATTGGGCCACAACCATTCTGCGGTCCTTCGTGGAGCTTTTTCAAACTTAAAACTAATGAATGGTTGGAAAAAGCAGCTCAGAATGATTGGGATAATACAATTACCTGCAGACAAGCAAAAGAATCCATGCCGTTTCGATCAAAAGCCAGAACTAGGGAGCTACTTATGCTGAACAGAAGTGGCATCCGACTTGTCACAGGTTTTCTAACTGGACACTGTGGAGTTAAAAAACATTTATTGAATCTAGGTATTACTGGAGACGATAGCTGTAGACTTTGTTACGAAGAAGAGAAAACAGCAGAACACATATTGTGTCACTGTGATAGTCTTGCAAGACTCAGACTTCGCTACTTATCCATTGCATATCCGCTTATAACGGAAGTAGGCAACATCTCTCCAAAGGACATACTGGCATTCTTAACTGCTACTCGTCTATGGAACTGAAGTGGGTATGTCACAATAATCCTCGAGGATGCAGTGACGCGGAGACTACTTCCCAACCCTTCTTGAGAAAAAAAAAAAAAAAAATAATAAACTTATCAGGTTGTCAGAAGGATCAGAAGGATCAGAAGGATGTATGGCACGTATAAGAGGAACAACATTAACATCCTCTAGTAATCTGCAAAGCTCTGCGATAGTAGAGGAGCTCAAGCCGGTTATTAGAGACGCAATTATGATTGATAATAGTAATATAAAACCTTGGCATAATTGAAAAATAAATAACAAAGAAGAAATTAATCAAATAAATAAGAAAATAAATGAGATAAAGGGTAACACAGTAAAGCTAAAAGATTTACAATTTCATCACATTTCTGGGCACACGGCATTAGGATTAACTACAATCACAATAATAGTAATAGTGATTTATCTAACTCGAGCAGCGCTAATAAGAAGAAAATTGTTGTCTATTTCTATTAAAGGCCCTCGGCAGACTGTTCAAAAATGAACAATTAACATAATCTATATTTGTTTATTAATATATCTATTATATGTTATATCTTAATTAATTAATTAATCTTAAAAAATATATTAAATAATGAATGATGTTAATTTATATAATTTTTTTTGATCTATATTACCATGTTAAAATCCTACAATTATTTTTTTATAAAATTGAAATACTTAAAAAAAAAAAGTTTTGTTAAAAGAAAATACCTATAAAACTTATATATACTATATTATTGAATTAATCTTTTATATTATATTATACTTTTATATTAAGTCATGATGGCTTAATTAAGGCGCTGGCAGCATGTTCAATAATGAACATGTTTTATTATTCAAATTACTAATATTCAATTTCATATTCATCTTATATTAAGCCATTCTGCCTTAATATAGGCGCTGGCAATATGTTCAATAATGAACATGTTATTTTAAGACAAATGCCAGTTTTCTCTTTAAGATCATAAAAAATTATATTAAAATAATGCACAACTGTGCATATTTAACACGCTGGCAGGATGTCCTTAAATTGATAGTTTATTATTCCAAGCCTGTTATAGTTTAAATTCTTAGAATTATATACGAAGGAAAAAACACGGGTAATAAAAAACCCAAAACTAAAATAGTAACATTGTAGAATATTAAACACATTTTAAAATACATTTTATGATACACGGCACCGTATCGACAATAAAAATATATTTGTAAAATAATAAAAATCCTACGTGCCGGAATTTTATTGTATCCTTTTTTTGTAATGCAATACAGTCCACTCAAACAAGCTATAACAGGTAATAAATATTGTAAATTAGTTATGTGTGTTATGTGCGATGTGTGTTTAATGTAAGTATCCTTGCTGATTCTTGGTCAACCTTCACTTGTGTATACGCTCGATCTGAATCCAGCTTTGTAAACCACTTACAATTTGCTAATGCTGCTAGCACTTCTGTATTAGTAGGTATTAGGATACGTTTCCTTGCAAAGCATTTGATTCACTGTGCACTTATAATCTCCACAAATGCGTATGCTACCATCTGGTTTAATAATAGGTACAACCGGTGTTGCCCACTCACTAAAGGATATTGAACGCAGTGCGCCTTCATCTTCCAACTTCTTTAATGCTGCTGCCACCTTGAATTTTAGTGCAAAAGGCACTAGTCGATATCGAAGAAATTTCGGTTTACTTGAAACTGACATTTGTAACTTCACAGGATTTCCCTTGTAATCTCCAAGATTTCCATCAAAAACTGAACTGAAGTTCATCACTTCTACTGGAATAGTTGATTCTATATTGCATAAATTGCTAGTTATAGTAATTCCCAAATCGTTAAACCAATTTC